TTAAATTCGAATTTTACATTTGGAAGTAGGGATATTGTTTGCATTTTCATTTAGGATATTATTTGTTAAATTGATTTAGTATTGTGTTTTTGTTTTTATTGACTTTTTTTCATAATTTTTTTAAGAGAGTTAATTAATTCTCCGTCACGAACTGCGACATTTTCTTCGGATTACTACTTACTCACGAAAATAAAAGATTACTAACTACTCATTCAGTTTTTAAAAAAAAAAAAAAATTACTCATTCATCACTCATATCAATTCCCCTCATTCAACTAGGCAAAAAAAGTCCACGTGGCAAATGAAAATCTTACGTGACCACTGATGCAGTTAAATTAAGAGTGCTTTTTCCCCAAAATTGAAGAATCGTTCTTTTCCTCCTTTACCAATTCCCCAATCTTCTATATGAAACCTAATCAAGACTTCATTCCAACATATTGCGTCTATCAAGATTTTTATCAATTGAATTCCAAAGTGAAATTGTTCCAAATCGATCCCCAATTTAAAATCCATTAGATTTATAAGCAACCTAGATTCAACTGAGAAAAACAATCAAATTGAGCCCATAACAGTATCAAACTAGTGTCTTGATAATGAGGAATGTGAGTGACCCGCAATAGCCTGAAATGATAAGCAACTATAATGTTGATGAAGAAACATCGTTGGTGAAAGTAAAAGAGCGACCACAAGCAAGTATATTTTAATTTTTTTTGATGAAATGTATAATATTGTGTCCATAACATTATTTTGTATCAGTAATTTATGAATTTATCGACACTTTATTGTTTTCCACGTTATTTCAAGTTCTTAGAAGAGGGACCACATTCTTTATCGTATATTTCGGCACTTCTTTTATGAATCTTAGCTTGCTATATATGTTTGTCATCCAATATTTAGCTTCTGTTTGGTAGCCATTTTTCAGCAAAAAAGAAGAAAAAAATGACCATTGAAGAAGTAAAAAAGACGGCTGTAAGAGGGAAAGTAAAAGAAGTTGGCTGAATTTGATTTCTAACGGGCAAAAAATGCATTCTTTGATCTGAAAAATTGCTGTCAAATAGAAGCTTAGTTAGTTCATCATTTACGGTGGCATTTAGGTATTGCAATGGTTGCTGAGTATTAACTGTTTAAATTCTAACCATTTTTAATTAGTTCATCATCTACAGTGGCATTCATAGGACTGCATCATCGTATTTAGTTGCTTTATATTGAGGGTTTGGGCTTCATGAGGAGGATATGATCTAAATAAATTTCTTCATTTCATCGCCTGAAATTTTCTCAAGATATATAGGTTATATATGTGTGCTGGCCATATATTTGCTTAAACATGGATTTCTCTTCGTTTTTTCTTTTGTTTTAATAAACAGCATTTACAAAATTTTGCATCACCTTAGTTCTACAATACTACTTGTTTCTTTGCAATTATTAGACTTGAAGAAGAGAAAGTGGTACTTGATGAATACAATTTGACTGATTCATATGACAATATTAATGACGATGATTTTCATTATGATAAGAATGAAAGTGAACGAATTTTGGTTGGATTAAAAGCATATCATACTGTAAATCTTTTGACTGCTGGGGACAAAGAGTCAAGATCGGAAGGTACTTATTATCTAAGTGAGGAGGAGTTGTACATCAACTATTCTTTTAATGAAGAAAATCATTTTCGTTTCTCTAATTATGATGTTCGAGAAGGAGAAGTTCAATTCACCGTTATAGGTAGGAAAAGAGTTTTTAAATATTGGGGACTTTAGGCAAGTAGTAAGGAATCATAGCGTAACCAAATAGATGCAGTTTTAGATTCGAGCCTAATGATGAGTTTAGAGCCCAAGTTATCTGCAAATCAGATTGTATATGGAGGATTTGGGCTTCATAGAATAAAAATAACGGAAGCATGCAAATAAAATCTAAAAACTCCGAGCATGCATGTGTTAGGAACAAAACAAATAGACATTGCACTGCCAAATACATAGCACAGAGGTATTTAGATACCTTCAAAGTTGACCCTGATTGGAAGTCTAAGCTCATTTTAAAGGTTTTAAAGGAAGATATGAGATTGACAATTAATAAAACTACACCATGGAGGACTAGAAGACATGTGAGGATAATGATACAAGGATCTGACAAGCACCAGTTTGCATTGCTTAGGTCTTTTGCTGCTAAAATTTTGAGAACTAATCTCGGGTCTACATGCATTGTTGCTATGCATGCTTTAGGTTTCAAGGTGTTTACATTTGTTTAGAAGCTTGCAAGAGAGGTTTTTATTAAGTTGCATGCATTTTCTAGGATTGGATGAGTGTTTCTTGAAAGGGACGTTTGGAGGGCAAATGGTTGTGGCAGTGGAATTAGGTGCCAATGATTGCACCTACCCAATAGCATATGCTATAGTAGACAAAGAATGATATTACCTAGAGGTGGTTTATACAACATTTAAGTGAAAATTTGATGATTGTGAATAGTAATGAATGGACTTTTATGACAGGACTTACAGAATATCATAAATGATTTATACTCGAGGCACAACATTTTTTTGTGTTAGACACATATACACTAATTTCTTTATAATAGATTTAAAGAGTTTGATTCTTAAGAAATACTTATGGAAGGATGTAAAATTGAAAACTGGATGTTTTGAGTGGGTGAGATTGAGAAAGAAAGTCATGCGTCATTTAATTATTTAATGAATCAAACACCCAAGTGAATTGAGTAAGACTTACTTTTTAACAAAGGTAAAAAGTGACATACATTTGAACAATTTATGTGAAGTGTTTAATAATATTTTGTTGGAAGAAATGGAGAAATTCATATTGACAATGTTGATTGATTTGCATATAAGTTTCATGAAGATGATGCAGCAAGGCGGGACGATATGAGAAGAGTAATAGGGATTTTATGTCCTAAAGTGCTACGAAAACTTATGAAAAATGTTGAGTTAGCCGAGGAATGTGAGGCGGATTGGTCCAGAAGAGCACCGTCTTATGTTAAATGTTCTAGTGGGAAATATTTTGTTGATCTACTAAATAAGACTTGTGCACGTAAGAAATGAGATATCAATGATTCCTTGTACTCATGCATTTGCTGCTATAGTAAATAGAAGGGATGAACCCTGGAGGTACGTGCATGAGTGTTATAGATTGAGTAAATATATGAGCTGTTATGAAAATATTACAAACCCCATCAATAGGACAAAATTTTGGCCTCGAGCAAATGTTCCCTTGGTCAAACCACTAAATTGGTGTGTTCCTAACAACGGAAGAAAACAGGAAGAAGAAAATGTCATAACTTGTTTTGGGTCCGAAGTAAAGTTGAATAAGAAGAGTACCATGGCGATTACTTGTAGTGCCTGGGGTTGAACAAGCTACAACGAGAGGTGTCATGAAACGGCAGAAGCACCACACGAGGTTTGTTTATATACGGAGTTTATTAAGTGAATAGATTTCTAGTAGAATATATAATCCAATGTACTATGTTTATATGTTCGTTACATGAATGGTCTTATGTGGCTATAGTTCCTGAAAGTCAAAAAGCTCAAGTCACTTATAGAGTAGAGTTGCAAGGATAATCAAATTTATCACAATGTCCTACAATTAGTAAATTTGGTCAAATAAGGTTTTGAAGTCATAACTGATATGTTTTTACCCTCTTTACAAGCCAAACTCG